AAACGATTTCTAATTGAGAACACGCTGCGCGAACAAGGCTAGTTATTTACGGTGTGAGCCTATCATCCGTCATTATAATATGCATCTGTGCCGTCAAAGGAAATCATTTAGATGAATGTGTGTCGGTCAAGTCAGCACTTTCTTTTTCCTTTATTTAAGACACAGAGAAATTCTCTTTGAAGAAAATGAGATTGAATGAAACAGATGGACAAATGAAAATAATCGATCATCAGACGCGTTAACAAGTACGACATTGGACAATGTCGTGAATTTCATATCAGACTCTCTCTTTTCTCTCTGTTGTGATTAGAAGGTTAATCGATGTCTATGTGCTCGCGAAGTATTGTTAACTTCTAATGATCATCATTGATCATCTTTTTACAACATGTTCAAACACACGAATACTAATTCATTTTCTTTCGACTAACGTCTGACTGATCTTTTTACTCGCGTGAAACATAAAGGAAAACGATAACTCTGATATTACTCGACATTACGTATAAGTATAAGAGAAAATCAAGCGTTTTCTCATTAGGGATGAATAATGGATATAATTGAGTGTGACATTTGTTAATCAAGAATCAACGGTGTCATTCAATGAAGAAACAATGTTTTTTTCATGCTTGAGAGAAAGGAGGAAATATCATGTATTGCTCTCTCTCTGTCTCCTTACACATTCGCAGCGGACGAGCCAGATAAAAATTTATTTTCGTTTCAATCTATGAATATAGTCTAATAATGGTAGTTATCATGAAAAGAAAAACATCGATAAAACTTCTGAGGTAAAGTTGATCAAGTGCGGGAATAAGTTGTAGTTCAAAATTGTTTTATTTGTTCATGTCGAATTACTCCGAGGAATCGAAAGAAAGATTGTAACAAGCGCCAGGGACAATGTCCACCGACAGTTGCTGTTCTGGAATTGTTAAATGGTAGATTGATGGTGCATTCTGTTTCCTTATTTGGATTGTTAATCTTGATGTATCATAATCAACTTGAGCTTGAACGAAATCAAGTGAAGATGGAAGCTGAGGACAGATGTAGAGTCCATCTATCTTTGCTTGAACGCCAACAAAGCCATGTAGGAATGCAACGACAGCTATGCCAGATTCGGGAAAGGGAAAATTACTTCCGATCTGAACAAAATCTTCACCGAAATCATCCTGAGGTCGACCTTTTTCGTAATTGAATGTCAAACAATGAGAATCATTGTCGACTCGATCTAACATCCTTGTCAAGATTGCAAACGCTTCATCTGTATAGTTGAAACGAAGCCGAGCCATTATATCATAATAAGTTAACCAAATCATGGTTCCTCCGCTTTCAACGAGACCTCCATAGGGTCGTCGTCCTTCATCAGGATCTGACCATCCATCCCAATCAGGCTGTGCGACATTCTCCGTTGTTGTTCTCGCTGCTAATACATTATGATAAACATCTGTACTACCATTATGCGGACCAATACCAATCGGATCGGCTGGTTCGGATAACCATTGAAATATACGATCAGCTTTTGTTCTATTGCCTAGACCACGAGCAAGTGCTTCAAGGTTAATAAATACATAACCACTATCATGTTGGTAACCATTTCGATCTACCCATCCGACATATCGACCTAGACTTTCGTTCCAAAATGCACCATCAAAGATTTCACCAAAATTATTCGCTAATGTTTGATAGAACGTCATCTGATTGTGATTTCCAACAACCTTTTCTAATTCCACCATGTTTGTGAGAGCTGTATAGAACGTCATTGTAACCCATGTATCTTTCCAACCAGATTTCACTTGGTCCATGTACGTACTTGGGCGACTAGTTTCTGGTGTTCCATCATTGACTCGATTAATTGGTATACCATAGGATCCATTCATATTCACTAGTAAGTAAGTCATGACGAATTCAACTCGTGGAAGAATGGTTTGGAGAAATGTTCGATTGCGGGTCCAGGCGTAGTACTGATAGACAGCAGCGGGAAATCGCGGTAACTGATCGAAATGATAAGAAGCAATTGATCCGTGTGAGCCGCGAGCATCTGGCCATCGTTCTGAATCCATCCATGACCAAATGAAACCATTGGACATATTACCTGTCGTTCCATCGATTCCGTTAATTGGAAATCGAGATAACGTTGCCTGTGCATGATCGCGATAACCGTTATGATTGTTCCAACTGAATTTTATTGCATCCCATTCCGCCCATGCAGGATTATCACCGAATGGATTATCATTTGTATCCAGTTTTTCTTCACAAGTACCGTAAATCGACCAGAAAACATTTAATTGTCTTGTCAAAATCGGTGAAGATGTATTGAACGGTGTCGAATACGCTTGGCCAGGACATTTTCCTGCCGACAAAACGAACCGGACAGCGAGTGTGACTATAACAACCTCAAACAGCATTTTGTCAATCTTGCGATGAGTGAAATATTCAGCATGCTTTTATCTTTTTTATTGTTACCAAATTGATAAGAGTTATGTTATAAAAAAAGACGACTGAAAATGTTTATTCTCAATCTCGTTTAAAAGTCAAAATTCAATCGAAATGCTGTGTTTATTTATATGTGATTAAATATTCTGCATAAGCTTGAGCATCGTGGTAGGTAACCGTCATATGGTTTCCATCTGTTGTCGAATCGAACCCAATCGGTCGAGTCTTCATCGAACTATTTCCTAATGTTGACTTGCCAACAAGAACACGAGCAACAAACATACATCGTTCTCCATTCGCATTTGCTCTTGTATATCCGTGACTGTAGATAACATTCGAAGAGAAATATACTCCATAACCGTATGATGTTCCTGCAAGAAGGCATGGAAGAAACATGTCTGAAGAATAAAAGGCACGTTCGAACTTACCGTTCACTCCTGCAAAACTTCGATTGAAGCAATCTTCAATGATCGCATCTGCAGCAACTTCGGGACATCCGTGATATAGACGCTTTTCGGTATTCGCATTCAAACGTTTCTGGAAATCTCTCGCATGTGCAAGATACTGCATATACCATCGCTCGTTTTGAATACGTTCAAGGCGAATGATTTCTTTGCAGTATGGAGTCATCGGTGAAAGAAAATCATTGATAATGGATTTATATTCGGGACTGTTTGGTGGCACAATAAATCGAATTTTATGATCATTGGATTTTTGCCATGTTGAAGGTACTTGAAAATCTCCATCCGGTTTTTTATCTATGGGAAGAACCTTTATTATGATTAGTTGACGTCTTTGGAAAGATCTTACTGTCATCGGATGATAATAAATGTCGGCAAAATTCATCATAAATCGTTTGCTGGTTAGGTTCGATAACGAACTTCACTGTCCACGGCAATTTTCGTGTGAGAATTTGTTTTTTCATTTCTCTCACCATTGTTTTAACTACGACATCAACTGAACACGCATGTTCACCACAGCCGATGGCTGGAAATGCGATGGAGCTGAAATGATGCGAGTTGACATTTTGAATTAGATTCCAAATCAAGTCAATGATTGACTGTCGGAGTTCATCGGGATCACTCTCAGGCTTCCATCGAAGGAAAAACACGCGTTTACATGGTAAATTACCAGGCGGAGTTGGTATAATCAAAGAATTTGGATTAGCAGCATCTTCTTTGTGGTATGTAGTTTCTACTTCATCGCCGCCGGCTTTGAATAAAGCGTATTGAAGGTTTTCCGAGGAGGAGCTTCCAATAATGACATCAACCTATGAGAACACACACGAAAACATATTTCCAACTGAAAAAAAAAATGAAAATAGATTACGTTTTGCTTAGTAAGATTTCCTTTTTCGACAAATATTGTTCCTTTTCCTACAGAAATCGAAATTTGTCCCTGTTTTTTATACCGATTGATTCGTTTCTCAAATTCTTCATGGATATCCATTCTTCTGTTTAGAATAACAAATGTGAATGTAATGGGATATTTGAGAACCCAACGAACAACTTCATCAATTAATATTTGAGCACTGGCACTTATCGAACATCCTTGTTCTTCACAACCGATCGCCGGAAAGGCAATGCTTTTAAAACCATCCTTGTCAGCTTGTTGTATCACCTTTGCAACAAGATTTTCGATCGAGTCACGATTTATCTGAGGATCGGGATTGGCTTGCCATTGAGCAAAATAAACCATCTTCGATAGGAGTTTTTTATTGGTAGGAATGCTAATGATGAGTTCGTCTTTGCTTTCCTGCACTTTTTTCAGAAAGGCTTCTTCGGCAGATTTGCCGAGGAATTTTAGAATATTGCCAAGGAGGGCTTTTGATGAAGTACAAACGACAATAACATCGGCCTAAACATGGGCGAAGTCGTTCTATAGAATCTATCTTCAATGCATTAGTGACTTACGTCATACTTTGTTAAACTGTCTTGAGTGACGTGAAGTAACGTTCCGAGGTCTTTGTCATATGATGACGACTAAAGTAGAGAGTTTCAGATTATTTTGTAGTTTGAAGAAAGCTTTTTGCTTGCACCTTTTTTTCGAGTAAATCTATTTCGTCATTTTTAAAGACGCGTTCGTACTTCAATTGATAGGGTTCCATTTCTGGGTTATCTCCTTTGTTTTTGCTTGTTTTCGTACGCGTGGTTGTCAGAAGTAAACAATCACTATTGTTCGGTATTTGAAAATTATCAAGTATGGTAAACGTGCTGTCATTAGCAATGATTCGTGGTATCCAACGAAGAAATCCAGCAATTGTGTTCTGTTGGTTGGTAAATGCAAAGTTTTCTAAATCGAATACGAGTTTTTCCTTCTTGAGAAAATCTAGTGTAACATTAAGATATTTTCGTCGATAGTTCACTGCCGTTTCGAGTAGAAAATTGTTTTCTTCATCGAAGTTATACCATGAATGGAGTTGTATTGGATCTGGCGATGATGTCTGAAAGATTTGTGATAGAGATGAAAGATTTGTTACAGCAGTTGGATGTTGGTTGAACATCAGTTGCCATTGACCATAGCAATGAAAGTTTAGTAGAGACGACCCGCGACAACGAACCCAAGCAAAGTTTCCATCATCCGGATCACTACGTTTGAAACGTACAAACCGTATCAGTGAAACACAATGAGCATCTCTTGTTCCACTCAAAAGTACATTGTTGCTGAACTGCTGTTCGTTAAGAGATTCCTGAAGTTGCGCAGCGTGATCGGAACCAAATGAAAACCATTGGTTAACCACAGCGGGTTTATATTCCCAAAAGCAATCGGCGACCAACTCTTTCATCTTGCGAATCTCACCGAGAACTGTCTTCGTTGGAGCACGAGTAATTTCTTTCGAATATGAATAGAGAAGAAAACTGCAGAAAAACTCTCGAATATTCTTTTGATACTGTGCATTCTCAATTGGAGTTTCATGAATATTATTCAGCGCGAAATAGTCACCACCATGTTGAATGAGGTATTTCACAATATCCAACCGTCCGTTGTAACATGCCGCATGTAATGCCGTGGAACCAACGGTTGCTTTGGGTGACGCCGCTGCTTGATCAGTAACATATTCAACATTTTCCCCATTCACTAAACAATCAGCTGTTTCAATAAGGTATTTAACTATATCAAAATGATTGTTCCTTGCTGATGAATAGAGGAGAGTCGTTCCGAAAACACCGGATGCATTTTTCAAATTTGGATAGGCTTCAACGAAAGTTTTCACGATCGAAAAGTTTCCATCGTAGGCAGCTTGAGCCGCATCGAGTAGAGCCAGTCGGCCTCGAAGATCATGTAATGCTTGTGCCAAATTAACTTTATCTCCATTCATGAATGGTTCTGCTGCACGTAAAAGATAACCTCGACATTGAGTTGACGACGAAAATAGATTTTGATCAAGAACTGCTTGAATTTTCGTCTTCAAATCATTCTTGGGACTTTTAACCTCATTCGATACAGCAGTAATAAGTAATTCTAAGGATTTTTTTAGTTTCTGTTGGTTGTCGTCGGCCATGTTTGTTGGCTGAAACTATAAAATGAATTGCAGGAATGTAAGAAAGAGTATTTTTTTTGTCAACTTAGAAACCATGTTGTTATTCTTTCTTCCTTGTGGTGGGTAGAAAACGTGAAAAATACGCCGTGTTTAAACGACGATAAACAATATTTCGAAGAAAAATAAAGAAGATCTTCTCTTTTCGTTTTCAAAAAGAATTCGTTTTTTTTTGTTGGAAAAATCATTCTGAAATCAACAATCAAAATTCAACATGTAAAACAACTTTCGGAGCACTGGGTTAACTGTCGACAGTGCTGAAATAATTGTTATACTGCATTACGTGTTCATATTCGACACACACACTTACACACGTTGATTTCTTTTCTTTCTGCTTTGAATATATTTTTTCGAAATGTCATAAGGTGACGGTTGATCATTGATGATTACTTTTTCTCCTCTTCTAATGAATGTAACGATACTGCTTCATTGCTCTCATGATGTTACACACGATATGGTTCAATGAGTCACAACACACGTGCCAATAGTTGAAATAGGATCGAATAGGAAAAAAAACATCGTCTCATAATTGATCCCACGCTTGCATATGACATCGATTCGACTATCGCGAATTCCATATCGTCGATTCAAAACGATGAGACAACTGATCATGGTGTTACTTTCAATCAGTAGCTTTCTACTCTTGATGAATCTACCACAGAAGCCTCAAACGATAATTAAACGTTCTAAACGGAATTTAACTATCTGGAGTAATGATTTTCACATAAGGTGAGAAGAAATTTCCAACATACATACGCATTTCTGGTATATTGATGTGTTTAACAGTACCATACAGGATGTCAAGTATCAACTGCAATTGTTTAACGTTGTTCTCATAGATAATAGTCTGTCAAATCATTGCGGTCTGACGAAAACTTGTGCAGAGAAGTTGAAAGTTTTGAATAAACAAAATGGAATTTCACCAACGATTAAAGAACGTCAAGAATTTTATGAAGCTTATAAGAACGATCCGGTGATGAACCAGGTTGACGCGTTTATTTGTTTTCATCCAACAGCGATGTGCGAGGTATTCATGCCTTTCAATCGACCATTGATTATCATAGCATCGACGAGGTATGAGATGGGAAGATTTTCTCGCGAAGAATGGACAAAATGGAATAAAAATCTTCGACTCATAGCTTTGAATCCTCGGTATTTGCTTTATATCATCCTGCAAGGGACATTAGATTTCAAGCTTTTCCGTTTAGAAACATTATCGCTGCGAATAACTTGTACGATGCTGAATATATCCGGTATTTTACTGGTATTAAACCAATTATTTTGCCGTCTTTGTGTGATTATACGAAAGCGTCCTATTCACCAAAACCAGGAAGATCTTTTCTTATAACAACTATCTTCAAACAACAGTTTCGTTCAGAGTTTATTTTCAATCTGACGCATTCTATTCAACGGCTCAACTCAACATTGACTGTCGACTATTTGCGATCTCTCTACAAAGACCATTACGATTATTCAGACATTGCAGGTCATCCGGGAATGATCTATGTGCCATATCAAGTTTCTTTGATGAGTCTATTCGAGCAATATCGAATGAATATTCCGTTGTTTTTTCCGTCCATTGATCTGCTCACGGAATGGCATTATATTTATCGTGTCATTGACCAGCGCACTTGGGATGATGTTAATTCGCAACCAAGTAATGCTTCGATTGTTCCAGGTGTACTGGGAGTGGAAATTCCCGATCCCAACAACGAATTTGATCGAAAAGCGATTCGTTATTGGTTGCAATTCAGTGATTTTTATCAATGGCCGCATATAACTTATTTCAACTCTACTGATGATCTCGTCGAGAAATTGATGCATGCGGATCTCAATGAGATCAGTCGATCTATGAAGATCTACAATGTAAAATTAAAGGAAAGATTACATGAACAATGGGAAGACATATTACGCAGAGTGGATGCAAACTAACATTAAAATAAAACAACAGCGGAGGTGAATCCACCGGAGCATATGTATTCGAAGGGTATGAAATGAAACCGGATGTTAGATAATTACCTTGACAGTCACAAGACTTAGTTCGTGTGAAAATAAACGTATTAATTAAATATAATCACATCTGTTGTCATGCATTAACTTTGATCAGAGTACTTCAGAAATGCTGTCGGCTATTGCGTGATTCCCCGGTTAAATTTCTAGTCTATACAGCTACGATTCGAGACATCTAATCACAAAAGCTTTTAAAACGTCGAAGTTGTAAGCATGGTATCGTTAAGAAAGAAAATTTAAAAAATATGAAAACTATCAGCAGAGGAAAAGGTAAAATTAGGATGTAATAAATGAGTATCGCTCAAAGTCCGTCTCGTTCACAATTCCTCTAGATACTTCACGTCCACTATAAAATGCATCATAGAGACCAACCTCTTAGGACTTTTCTTTATCTTTATATTGTGACGAAGGAACCGAATGAATTGAATTTGAATACGCAATGACATCACGTGACACGATGAAAACATTATTTCTCCTTGTCTTTCGCGCTTCACAGACGATTGTTACCGCGTCACTAAAGTTCATTGCCACGCCTTTCTAAACAAGTGCAAAGTACAAATGCTTATTAATTCTTATTTCTAGAAGTTTCTATCTATCATCCCGTTGTATCCTAGTGACAAATAAAATATTACCTCTCGACTATGTACGATTTCCGTTACACTATGTAAATTACTTAATACAAAGCATAATATCAGGAAAGAACATGCGGATTATGATTTGCTAGCTTCCGATTACGAGAGAAGACCTTGGTGTTATTAGAGCGTATGATATCATAGTTAGCTATACCACATTCTATATTCATATTTTCTTCTTTTCTCTTGTCTTTCTACTATCGTCATCATCTCACGATATTTGTTACAGCATCTATCACTTTTCTCGTTTCTCTTTCTGCCGTATCTCTTCTATACAAAACTCACTTCACTTTCTCAAAAACAATGTTCAAGCCGATCATGAACAGCAAAACCAACGCAAACACCACCATGGACACAGATGATCTCATCGATTCTCTCGTTCACGCTCTTCACGATTATGTTCCCAGTCAAGCACAGTACATCATTCTTCTCTTCATCGTACCATTGGCTATTCTCTGTAATCTCTTCGTGCTTTATCATTTGCTCATGGACCGCAACCTTCGCAAAGAAGCACACAATCATGTCATTATTGCCATTCTATTCTCAAGTCTCGAGTTCAATCTTATTCATGCTCCGTTCTCTATCAATCTCTTTCGAACTGGTTCGGTGTGGCCACGGTCAATTATTGCTTGCAGTATTTGGCGTTTCACAGCCTATCTCGGTTGCAATGCAAATGATGTTCTGTTGGCATGGGCGGCCATCGAAAGGCACATTCTCATCTATCACAGTAACATGATGAGAGTACGTCGTAATCGAATAATCTTTCATTACATTCCGCTGGGTATACTGGTGATTTATCTGTTTGGATTCAATGCTGCTTGTTTCTTGACACCTGCTTGCTTTGCTAACTACAATTTCAATGTGGTGTTCTGTGATGCAACATGTTTGAACTCAGTTCCATTCTTGGCGAGCTGGTATCTGGCAGTGAATCAGTTGGTTGCTGCGCTGTTGGCGATAGTGTTCAGCTTGATTCTATGGGTCCGTGTAATTAGACAACAGAAACAAATGAGACGCTCGCATGAGTGGCGTCGATTCTACAAGTTGAGTATGCAAATTATAGTCATAACAATACTGTTTATTGTCCTCGAAACACCCTACGCTATTACATGCACACTTGCTTATACTGGCCACTTTGGCAACTCGATCGTTTTTGACTACAGCAACTCGATCAGTTTGTTCTTGTGTTACATAATGCCAATCATTATGCCATTTGCATGTTTTCTCGGTTTGTACAATGAATTATGGCCTCGACTCGTAAAACCATTCAACAGAATTTTACGGCATGAAGAAGCAAACAGAATCAAACCGATGCTTGCTGCCAATACAATGATTAATGGCATATCCGTCAAATAAGCTTCATCTCAACATGTTTGTTGGACATATATGATTCGATATTGTCATGCATTGTCTTTTCATACAGAGCGAAAAATAAATTTGGCTTATATAAACAATATAATGCATAATTAACATCGGTGTATAAATAAAACTTCAAAGATTAGCAAAAGAGATAATTGCTTGGCCTTTTCTTCTGCATGATTGAGATGAAGAGTGTGACGAGAACATTTTAATTCAATACTAAGTCTCTCCTGTGTTTTGGTGACACTTTCTTTACGAATGGTGTGATAAGAGAAATGAATCGAAAATCTAATAGAAAGACGGGTAAAAAGACAGTCACGAGGAAATCATTGACAGTAATCACCAAGTAACAACCATTACTTCTATTACATTGTTGCTGGAACAGTGAATATTTATGTAGAAATGATTTTTCATATGCATTAAGCGAACTTTATTTTTCTAGAATTTCCAATGGAAATCCCATAAGCGCGTTAAAAGTTTGACAGAAATTATTCTTTCTCAACTCATTTTCTCTACATAGTGAAACTGGCTGATGTTCCTATACTGTGACACTTTGACGGCATGTTAATGAACAGGATGATATTGCTCAGAAACATTTTCTTTTTAAAAATTGAGTCACCATTGTCAATGTTTGATAACGGAACTGCCTGTCATCATCATCATCATCATATCCCATAGGCTTGGCGCCCGTTGGGTCCAACCATTTACGGGATCAGATTTTTCCATGCCCGTCTATCTTGCGCAAGGTGGAACAGGTCATGTCCACTACGTTGACACCATTCCGTTATGTCATCGAGCCACTCTCTGCACGGCCGTCCTCTTCGAGATTTTCCGTCCATTTGTGAAAATAGAACGTGTTTGATCAGCCTGTTATCTCCCATTCTGCAGATGTGCCCGAACAGTCCTAATTTCCTTCTTCGGATGATGTCTACGATAGTTTCTTCCTTCGATATTCTGCTCCTGATGTCTTCGTTTCGTANTATCTGAAACGTTTCATTTCGTTTCGAAGCAGTTCTAGCTTGCCCGCAGCCCACAGAGTCTGCACATTCCATGTTCCCACTGTCAGGAGTTTCTTTGCTAGTCTCAGTCTATGCGTGTTTTCCGTCGTAGAAGGCGTGTTAGCGTCGTCAGTTTTTCCAGTAGCCAACTTTCCGACTCTGCCCTGGCCACTCAGCAGAGGACACGGATCTTGTTTTCCCGGGCGACGTCCGAGCCGGTATGGATTCCTATGATCGTCGTTCATGGTTGGTTTCTTTCGTCTTTTTGTTTTTACTGACGGCGGTATCTGCACCCCTTCCGTCAAACGCTCCTCCTTTGTCCGGACTTGCGACCGGCACGCAGACCGGTGGGTTCCGATCTCCGTGGTGGAGTTCTGAGATCTTATGCCTAGCCATATACATGAAAATGGGCTATTTTTGCCGTTGTTTCATTTTTTCCAAAATCTTGAGTACCGTCGTAGGATGTAACCGCGACATCAATCCAATCATTCACTGATGATTACAGTCTATAGTCACAGTGCTTTGCCAGCATGTATAGAGCTGGACTTCATGATCGCGTTTCGCCAGAATTTTATGAAAAAATTTTTTTGTAAGGGCCGACCGAAGGGTATCTGGGTCGAGGAATACGATACGAATCTGATACCGATTTCTTACGATTTTTTTCGGCTACATTGAAGTGTGTAAGTTTGATAAGCCATCTATTCAATATTTTGCATAAATACGTATATAGTGCTGCTTTTGTGAAAATATCCAATCTATGCTGGAAATAAAGCTATATGCACAATAATGCATTAAAAAATCACACGACAGCAGTGTTTCTACGAGAAAGAGCTAAGCGAGTGTAAAAACGAGCGTTACTTGTTTCTTTACATTTACATATAGACAGAACGAGATGGCAATATACGTAGCCTATCGTTACGTGTACTACTCGATGAATGACCGAACAGAGAATCCTTCCTACAGTCGAGGAAATTGTTCAAATGCTCTTTAAAATAATCATCTACTTGTGAAAATTACATGAATGGCTGTAGAGACATATGGATTACAAAAGTTCTATGAAGTTTCTTTCACATATCTTAGAACAGCGGTTAGTCTTTTTCTGATGATGAACCAAAAATCATAGAACAGATGATCAAATGAAAACGGAAATCGGTAATATGATAAGAAATGAATAGAAGAGATTAGCTATTATGTGTATGAAAAAAAAATCAAATAAGTCTTGAATGATGATTAAAATTAAGGAAAGTCAGCATCAATAGTGTATATGCTTATCCATTGGCCCACGGCGTTCGCTTTAGTGTTCTTTAAGAGCGTTTTAATTTCTTTGGCAGTAAGACCACGTGTGGCATGCTCATCAATGCCAATAAGAATGCGACCAACGAGTTGAGTGCTTGTGACAGGCACTTTACCGCTCTATAAACAGGGAATAATAGTGTTCAATTAAAATTCTCCAATATTTCATTTCCACCTTTAAAGCAACCCTAATATGTTACCGACTAGCTAATTTTCTGGGCTTTTGTCTAATCTAACCAATCGCATTGTCAAAGTCAAATACGAAAATGCCTGTATTTTGCGAAAATCGACAAGTTGTCTGGAGTATTTGAACATTCTCCTCTTCAGAAGTGATTTTCATAGTTCGAATCCTTTGGTCGTAGCAACATACAGAAGGTATACTTACAACGGACAAAATAATTGGCCAGGAAAGTAATTGATTGTCGGAACCGCCGATGACGCTGATGTCCAAGGATCTAACGTTAAGGCGTGTCAATATCGCTCGTTTATAATAGCTCTGGAAGGAAGTAGTTCGAGCCATCATTAAAATAAAAATATATAAACTTACCCGCATAAAATTATCGTAGTATTTATCCTGTTCAGGACTTATCTGATTTCCAAGATTTGTTACATCTATTGAGTGCGACGACTATTAATGAAAAAAAATTAATTTAAGGGAATGTATTTGGCTATTATTGAAGATTTCTTTCCATGGATAATAACAAGTTGCTTGACGTATTAACTCAAACAAGTAACGCTCATCCTTTGGATTCGCTGACCCTTTTCTCAAAGACTTTTCCGAATGCTGAACGCATTCAGAGACTTTGAAAGAGAAAAAACGCACTGCGATTGCTACTAGTGCTCAACTGAATCATGGCACTATGTTACACACTAGAATGAATAAGATGCAAAAGTCTTTTTAGGAATCAGACCAATTAGCCATTTGTCAGTGGATAATTCTCCAGCACTAACTATATTGACTGAAAAATTCATTGCTCAACGGCTAGTCAGACGGCCACTCGCGGCCAACCATTGACATTTGTCATCTGTTTTTCTATTTTCACATCACGCGCATGGAAATTTTCATAAATGCTTTACTAAGTCACTCATAGACGGATGATATACAGTAGACTACTTGAAAAGTTTGAACAGTCACTTGTGTCTTCCAGCGATAATCCGATTCTTTTCTCTCCAGTCAACAAAATGATACCTTGTCGAATGTTTTCATGGAAGAATATCCATTCGTCAAATCCCTTTCAAAATCATCTGAAGCCTGGCAAGGTTATTCTAAGCGTACATTTTAGGATTAATCTAGCATTTAAACGCCTAGTCGTTCGTCGACCTCCCTCCGGTCGGCCACTCACGGCTAGCCGTTGCCATGGTGTCTCTGTTATTCCTTTCGCCTTCGATCGACTTTCAGACTGAACGATTGGCTTTTCTTTTATTGTCGCTTCTACAGTCATGATCTTCTATTCATTCGACTACCAAAAGAAACTAGATAAGAAATTCTTATTGTATGATTTGCTTCGAAACGAAAATCTTTCATAGCGCTGCATGTGTTAAGAATACTGTTTCTACAGTCCACGCGTCTGTAATTACTACGACGGAATTCCACTGACGGGTATATCACTTTGTGAACTACTTCTACTAAATTCCCGTAAAAAGACATGATGGATGTAGCCTACAAAACAAAGATGATACTAACCTCATATCACTTTTTCGGATTTCTTGAATTAGAAACATCATTATGTACAATTCATTAGATCTTTTCGTGTAAGTTCTTGAGCTACTATCTTTGTACGCATGACGTCCGTGAATAGCGTTCAGCTCACTATCTTCTACAAAAGATTTCAGAACAGGTAAAGAAAAATATCTCCTTTGTAAAGAGGAAGGAACAAGCCCAGGCTCAGCGAATAAAACGAAATTCATCCCTCAAATTCGAATTTCCCAAGGTCAGAAATCCTTCGGTCTACTCTGACAATGAATGTTAATAAGTCGTGGCTAGTTAATGAAAAACTAATAATTAACTAAGCAACACTAACGTCGGATTCGTGATCTTCGACCTCGATTACCCTTCGGTCAACCCTTACTCGACAACGAAGAAAACTTTCACCGCTTAATTAGCTAATGAGCTGATTGGAATTTCGAGAAACTAACCTCAGATTCGAGATCCTCGACCTCGATTACCCTTCAGTCGATCCTTACCCTGTATATTAATAATCTATGTCTAGTTGATAGATAGTTAATTAATAGTTAATAATTAGTTAAAACTAACCTCAGATTCAAGTTCCCCGAGCTCGATTATCCTACCGGTAATCATTTTCTAGCAACTATCGATCAATTTCATTGATTTTAGAAATGTTGATTTCTGATTGGATAGGACAGACAGAATGACAGACAAACTTTAAGCTTTTTAGCACAGCATTTAAACGCTGTATAACCCTTTCTTTCAGAAAAGGGAATATTAGAACTACGCTCGTGTTTTCCTTTAAAACATCTCAGATTCTTGATTCTGTTAAACATCTATAGATATTTATATCATATTGTTCAATTCTGCCGATTGGCATAGTATACGCGGCGACTCGAGTTATTGGGCGAGAAAAGCTATTAGTTGCGAGGGTAATATTAAAATTTAAAACAAAAGATATGAGGAGTTTGATGCGAGATAAAAGCACGTGAAAACGGGATTTATCGATGTTAAATCGTAGGGGTTATGCAAACTGCTACGAACGAATGAAAAAGATGCTTATCGCAGGACTCGAAGCATGCACCTCCTGCTATCCGGGCAGTTGTACTACCACTATACTAGATGGGACATCCTTTTCATCGTTATGATCATCAAATCATAACATAAGCCTTTTGTGTCGAACTTAAGACACGCTCAGAAACTCGATAAATCTTGGAAGCGGAAAAGAAAGCTGATAGTAATTCGAAAATGGAGTCAACATTTTTTCTTGTGTATTTTCATATGGTTCAATAGAACTTATCCAACTCCAGAAGATTAACGTCCTACTAGAAGAAATAGTGAGACTCTGTATTTCGAATTTTTCTCAGTACAAATTGACATTATAGATCAAGTGAATATACATGCGTTGAACCAATGGAGCTCTCTACAAACTGATGTATACCATCACCCAAACCCATGTTCTTGTTCTATCTCAATAGCATCGACTCCAATTGAAAACTGTTCGATTTTCATACAGAGTACAAAAGCTTTCAGTGCAATCCCTAACGGGATAAAAATGTGAAACACGATCCAGCTGGAGAGACTGTGAACATATAGAATAATCAAATTTTTGTCACCCTGCATTCCTATTTATTTCAACCTATGCTATTGAAAATAACATATCATTCGCAATAGCGGAGCGCGGTGCTGTTTAAGAAATTTTTGTTTCATTGGTCACAATATGCGATGCTTTTTATTGCACTTCCATTATTTGATCACGGCCTATGACCCGATCGACGCATGTCGATGTAGCGAAGTTGAGAATGAACGTGTCTCTGAGATAATGATACAGTTTATTTGACTTTTCCCGTAACAAACCCTTCCGTCTTCTGTAAGATTCATACTTTTACAGACAACAGAAAAGATCGAATATCAGTCAAGTATGACAGACGGGTAGTAGGTCACATGCGTGCCAAAGGACAGGCAACAACAATGAATCCCATTACAGTCGCTAATCGCCTAGGGGGATAAGAAATAGCGAGTGAAAAGTTCTCTTTGCCCCCCAAAATCTTTCAACACGTTTCTGCGAATCATGTTTAAACAGAAACAAATCAACAGCTAGCTTAGTGGTAAATGCGTCCGCTGTAGGAGGTATCTTTTACTAAGTTGAGCATTAAGCATTTGAATCTTAACTAGTAGTAGCTTGCACTCGATGACCTTCAGTCTGTGTATATGGTACAGTATCGTAGTACATTTATATCCACTAAACTGTTTACATCTAATGACCTTTGGATGAAAGCATAGATTTCGGGTCTGTGACGCGGTTTTTGGGTCTGTCGGTAACGGTCTGTGGGATGGAGGGGGGGGGGTGGTCAAAACGTTTACCTTTAAACACTTCAACACTCTCCTTCGGATCGTGTTTCACAAAAAGGCAACACTGGCAAATAAATGACCTTAAAGACACAGCAAACCATCTAAGTTACCGTCAAAACAGGGAAAATTTTAGGGTAATCCAACTTGTATGTGATTTCACTCAATCACACCTTCCCAACCGTTCCTATTGATGTCAACCTCTTCTCAGCCTTTTCCACGGGTGAAGAAGTATCATAGAAAGCTTGGGACATTAAGTAATGAAAAAATTATCTGGGTGCAGTCTCTCCAGACATTCCACTTCAGACCTGTCTGAATGATATCTACCCGCACACTTTAACGTTGTCCGAGATCTACAGCAGCTTCACAAAAATGTGCATCCGTTTTCCATTATAGCAACCCATGGGTGAAATTTCACCCAGATCACGTCCAGACCATCGATGCCCACCATTCTAACTAATGTTTGAAGACTTATTTGATGTTTTCTAGATCTAGGGAAGCAGCATGGGAAGTTTCGCAGTGTTGTCGACCATAAAACCTCTTGGGTGAGATCTCACCCACCCTCATTACTTCTCTATTGACTCTCTATCAGCGTTCCCCTCCCCTCACCGAAATTCTGTCAATGCTTTCGCGTCTTTTTCTAATGCAAAATTGCTTGGGTGAAATTTCACCCAAGTCTCACCTAGATCACCCATGCCTACCCCTTAAGTAGTTATGCGGCACTTTCTCCATGTTTTCTTGGACCTAAGGAGCCAGTACAGAAAGTTTGGTGGTCATATCTGGTACAGAGAGGAAATGCGAAACGAACAAGCGGACAAAACCACAAATATTCAACTTTTCATATAGGAATCGGAGTAAATTTGATCGAAATTCAGCAAGGGTGCATCCGATTGGGCTCATGGCTCATCTTCGAACTCGATCGAGATATTGATGCGATAATGAAATGCAGGAAATCTCAGCTGAATCTGATTATTCTATCGAGAGTTATCGAGTAAACGGACGGACGGACACACTGGCCGATTCTAGTAATGTACTCACTTCTTGGGTACACAAAAACCCTTTTTCTTTATAGCATTTAAAGATAAATCTTTGAATGAATAGAGTTCTACACATTGAAATTTGGAAAGGATATTCCAAAAATACTCAGAGTAACATTTATTCTGGACCACCCGTTATCTGACGAGATGAATAAATACGGGAGATGAGTGCAAAATGAAAAAGTTCAACTTCCGTATGATTTTACCTGAAACGGGAGTTCTTCTACTACAACCGTGCGACAAGCAGTATTTGTTCGCTGGATAATATCCACTATCTTCACCTTTGCACCAGGCAAAATTATGTATTCACCCTCTGTTCCACCAAATGTTGAGTAAGGTCGTATATCTCTTGCAGACATTGCTTTCACCTTGAGTATTGTGCAATCTTCGCGTGGAAATCCAGAAAACATCTCACATATCTCTGGTTTTACACTGTATGATAAAGATGGCTATAATGCAGAAAAACAGTGGTGTATGCAAGGGAGGAAAAGCGGGTCCTGCTAGATTGAAGAATCTAATAAGATCCGAAAGGATCCAATGTGGTATAACAAAACAAAAGAAAAATTGGACTCAGGGTCGTCGATTTCCATGGATTCTGTCTATTGTTTCAGATTCTTTTCGGGTCATATTGATCCACTTAAGTTCTGGAAATGGTTTTCGTTTCTTGAATTCTTCCAAATCTCATAAATTCTATTAGAACCTTTGGAATTCTTTGAGATCTAAGGATCCTGTTGGACAGTACTGAGTCTTATAAAATTGTAGTGGCCTTCTTTTAGCTTTCTCAAGATCCATCAGAACCTAAAATGATTCGGTGGCATCATAGAAATTTAAGTGGATCCTTTTTCCCCATTGTGCACTCTTAAATAGCAGACTCGAGCGCAGCGGTATTTTGCCGTTATATTTTGAGAAAATCTCACCAAGTAAACAATCGAATTTTTGTCGTGTGAAAGATATAAATCATATGAATCGCCACGACATAATTCTATTTTTTCCGGGGATATCAGGTCGACCCCTTCATGTAACAGCTAAACAAGAACGGTTAAACAGTATATTTACTGATTTTTATATGGAACTGTTACCTTGAGATAAGCTACCCAGGGCTTTAGTGCCGTTTCGTTTAATGTTCTCAATGCGATATTGACCAGCCTATAACATGGAGAATCCACCGAGAAAATGTAAATAGCAGCACATTGATGCTGCGTAAGATTTGCCCAACGCATGTAACCACGGTCCAGAGCCTCGTCCACATATCTTACTGGCACACCAGTAGACGACGAAATATTATTGGTGAGTAGACCTTTCAGAGCATCTCTAAGTTTTTCGACGGGTTTTGAGTTAAGATAGTAATCAGGTAATATAATGCTCCCGATAACTGACCGTGAAAGCACCAAAGAAACTAGTATTACCGAAGCAAACATCATCACTAACTTCTTCAGTAACAAGGAAAAGTCACCAACAATTTTATGTAGTTCTCAACAATGAATATTCAAAAAGAATTTATAGCGTACATCGATTCATTGTTTTCACAAAAACAAACATTTGCTTCTAAGAGACGAAATGCACGAATGTGCGCACTCTCATCCAACATATTCCACAAAAAAAAACAAATCACTCGCGACCACTCGAAATCACTCCCAACATTTCAGCAGAACAAGCTGAAAAAAAAATAACACGAGAGTTCACCTTTCACCACCAAAGCCTATTCTATATGATTTCAACGAACAAAGTAATGGCTCATTCCTACCTTCCTCGTAAAAACGCAGCGTACACCCACTAATATACTGTTCACATTTCCGTTCGGCTGTTCGGTGTGAAGCATGCGGGATATTTATCGAAATGGCTCGAAAAACGACGAAAGGAAAAATGTGGAATATATAATTGATGAAGAAAAGGGAAATCAATTATAGGAAAGAAAAATGCCGCAAGAGAAAACGTTGAAACGAAGAATATCGAACGAAAAGGAGTGATTAACCTATCAGAGATTACTACGATAAGAGAGAAGACAATACCAGTCGGATTGGATTGTGTCATCAGATTTGTTTATTATTTCCATTGTTTCAATTATTTATTGATTTAAAACGAAAGATGATCTTACTGCACGACAGGAGACAAAGAAAACGTGTGCTATTTATCACAGAATCGAAAAGTTATATCTTCGTTATGTAAATAAACAAGTAGCGCTCGTCGTGCCGACTCACTTAACCCTCGACTGTGGAGAACAGGTATTTTTTCGTGTCCGCAATATGGCACAAATTAGTCTAACAATTTTTGATACACGAAGAAACAATTCGGATGTTTCGCGCAGATATGTTTCGTAACTTTCGAAAACAAAATACTGAATTTATCCTACTCGTTTTGGAGAGGCATAAAAAACCTCAATTTTATATTACCAATGTAATATGCAATAAGAAGAAACAAACGATGACGTAATACAATAAGCACTAGGGCCACTTCAATCGAACAACATCGCAACCATACACAACATATCAAATGCACCACGAAGCATACACAAGAGTAAAAAATATAGAACATCAAACAGCAATCTTAGTGTGTCCTAAGTCAATCCCACTTTCCAGGCATCCTCATCCACATACCTCTGCCCATCAACTTCACTACCACCAGACCAATCGCCATTCCATCCAGAAATAGGCATCTCCGCGAAAAAGCATCTCTAACTCCCATTTATGAGACCAGCTGGAACAAGCACTCAACTAAAACAGAATACTTTTACCATTAATACAAATTTACTGCGCCCACCAACAACAAACATCACTTACTCGTGTCGGTTTTCTTTCTTTGCCTTTGTCAAATTTCCATACATTGAACAGGTTTAACTCAATGAATTAGGATTACATTTGACACGTCTGACTCTAGCGAATGTATCTTTTGATATCTCTATTTTTCGCCTTCAGTGCATTTAGCTAGGGTAATACATATGACTATTTATTCGTCGTTCTTTTAATACTCCTAAGATCAGTTGCAGTTACATAAAAGCTGGAACACCTAGCCATTTCAACTGTCTTCTGACACCACTCCTAGCCATTCCAAACCCCCATCAGCTTCATATTGCATTATGAACAGCTCGACAAGAACTGAACACCGGACCTACCTAAAATCCTCCACTAAGGACACAGATCCGCCGATCATCGATTCCATCCACCTACCTCCAGGCGCCCGCCCCAAAAAAGAACCAATGAACGGTCACCCACGCTCATACATCAACTAATGTATTCACCCAAGAACCCCACCCACACCCATACATCAACCACTATATTCACCCGAGACCCCCACCCACGTTCATACATCAACCCCTAGTTTCATCTAAGACTACCACCCACGCTCATGCTTTAACCAATGTATTCACCCAAGAGCCACACCCACACCCACACCCATACACCCACCCATAGTTTCACCCAAGGCCTCACCCTCACCCACCCTCACCCACACACCCTTCATCATAAAAATGCGTCGATATTACAGGTATCTCCTCATTTTATCTTGTGACACAGGTGAACATAAATGCGCAGTTTATTACTATTTAGTTCTTTTGAAATCATTCTTTTTTTACTACATTAACGTATCGTCCTTGTAAGCTGATTCATGAGCAGAAGTCGAAGAATGAAACAGTATTTTTCATTATAACAGATAGCATAACTGTAAGCTCTGTAACATATTGATAGACCCGCCTATGTATAGAAGACTCCTTGCTTTAGAGGATCATTTTCGACAGAAAGTTTAAAAGTAATGTAAGAAGACGCCTAGTTTAAGATGATTTCCATGAGTTTTAAGAAAAGCACACTAAAATATGATCTTTCTCGACTGAAAAAATTCACATAAAAAACGTTGCTGGAAAACTCCTAAAACAATAAAATAACACGCTAGGATCAAGACAATCCATAAAATCTTATTATTACGTGAGATCAAAAC